TCCCAATCGAGTAACTTCATTATCCATGTGTATGTATGATGTACATAATAGTGGTGGAAAAGATAGGCACATCAATGTACTCATGTGAGGCCCTTAATAGTTGACTTACAACGAGAATACGACAAGGTTACACATAATATGAAAGCTTGTGATAACATCAACTTATAGTATCCGCATAATGGGGTTAATGTATTAAAAGGTAACTCGAAAGACCGACTTTCTATAAACCTCAGCATAGATAGTTGATATATTTATTTATGTGATCTTATAAACTGATCTTCTTAAGCTGACGCGAGGTTGGTACAGATCTTCGTTGTCGTTGTCGTTGTTTTTGATGTTGCTGGTCGATGGCTGACGTTTCGGCGACTTCGCCTTCCTCAGAGCCGTGATGTTACGTGCGGGACCTTATAAGAGGATGTTTTGGCACAAGTCCAGAATATTTCCCGAGAACGTTCGTCTACTATCGCTTCTTCTTCTCTCGCCACCAGTTTGGACAAAGGGAAAAGGTGCTCCCAAACAACTTTTTGCCAATCGTGCTACGCTGCGTGTGAAGGCTTTGAGTAGAAATAACACACAAGAAGTTCAGATTATACAAAGGAGTTTGCAGAACAAAGGTTGTTTGTTGCAAGCAAAGTTCCTGAGAATAAGATGAAGGTATTTGGATACTCCAAGATTGCAAAGTGATATGAGGAACAGTGGATATGGTCATTACCACAGGAACGTGAGATAAATAGTAGCTATTCAGGGAATAGTTCCTATAAATTATGTTAACTGGGAAAAAAGTGGATAAGAAACAGATTTAAAAGAGTTTGTCCACGGATTCATACTTATAGGAATCGCCGTAGAACCGTTAACGGTCGCACAATGCAAATCTATTGCAGTCGACAGTGACCGCCGGAAGACGTTAACTGGAGGTGATCGGTGCCAACAGTTTCAGAATATCACAAACAAGAGTGCCAAGGCCAAGACTCTGTGATTATTTAACGTATTAATTAAGCGAATGAAAAAGAGTTCAATGTCATGGGGTTAGGTTCTAGTGACCCGTTTCTTGACACCACTGTAACATTCGGAAAAAGTAGAGTTCTGGATTCCGTACTACAAATAGCCAAGTTTTGCTGAACGTCGAACAAGTATTTTACTTTTAGTGTATATTTCCGAGTACTTCACTCTACTATTTCATCGGCATTTTTCCCATATGTGCGGGAAGTGAACGCACCGTCGGTGGTTTGACCACGGCGCGGTACAAGCAGGAAGCCCTCGATTTTCACGGACTCGGCAAACTGGTACTATACAGTTCTAGAAGAATCCACCACCTGATCTACATCCTAGGGTTCCACGAGGAATCGCGATCGAGCAGGAGTCAATAATATTTATGGAAAATATCATAGATTTAGATCGCCAAGCTGCGGTCTAATCCGAAGACCTTGGTGGATTATGGGTGTGACACAATGAACGAAATGAGAGAAGCGTTGGAATCGACATAATATGTGAAGTCGGCTCCAGAGATGGAAAATTTCTTGCCGATACCACTTATCGCATTCGAAACATGTTTAATTTGTAGCTTTGGCTTTATTCTCTTGACTAGTAAGTTCTTACTCTGCACTATCCTTAATGAAAGAACTAAGGAATATCTAGCTTTACATGAGAGCCCTTTGTTGTAGCGCTTATCAAGACTAGAGGCTCTTTCGCTATGGTAGTTATGTAGACGAAGAGTGTCGTTTACAATTTCGCTTCATGCACTACCTTTATTTTTATGGTGCAACTCCTTTCGAGCTGGTCATCAGGTGGTTTCTTCTTGTTCGCAAGTAGAAGACGTTTATTAAATCAAGTGCAGAAAAAGATTACAATGATGATTCTAGGAACATCCTTCATCTGTTTGTGAAGAGTTCAATGTTATTTAGCCATTCGCATACCCAACGGCCATTCCGTTTATTCTCAAAAGAAAGTTCCATGGAGGTGTTGCGCTTTGAGACAGAAGCATAGTTTCCATTCTCGTTTGGGTTCCTCACTCAGGGATTCCAGATTTTCATCAAGTCCCTTATTCCAGAGTTTTAGATATTCTTCGTTCCAACAGCAGTCTTTATACTGGTGATGTTAATCTCATTTTGACGTCGAATATGGAGATAGTATATGGCCTAATGAAGGTTCTCCGCTAAGTGGAATTGATATGGAACAGTACTTAGACTTGGTGACGAGACCTCGCCACCGTGGATAATAATAATCTCTTCACCACGTGAGAGTATGTTGACAATTTTGCTGTTCTTGTCTTACAGTTCCTTCCCCTCAGCCACATAAGGTTGTTACAAATCTTTATTCCGCCTAACATTTCGGCAGTTTCGTTTTCCACGGAGACGCGATAGTTCGTATCCGCGGTCCACCAAGCCTTCCATCCCTCCAGGGTTGACAAATTGGGGCCAGACTTGTCTGGGAGGATAGCAGCAATAGATACATCGGTAGGCCACCGCGAGTCATTGTGCAGACCAGATATGCATTCAGTCACCTCTAACCACGCTTAATGAACTCGAATGCATGGTGCATCCCTCAGGGATTGATCAACGCCGAGAGCTCTATCTTTTTATCCTTTAACAGGGTCCCCCAAGCTGAGGAGTCCGGTGTTTCCATCAGTAAGCTGAGCTAAGAGTAAAGCAATACCAAGATCCACCACTGTCCTGGTATCGAACTAGTCGCATGGTGGCAAATCTCCTTCTGATCCATAAGAGCGGCGACTGCCTGTGGTGGTGATGACCTGAGGCAAACTTTGAGCAAGCGGACTTTGGAACCCCAGAGAACCACAATAACTAAACCAGCACAACTCCAAAAAATGGAGATTATGCTGCGGCCCGCACGACCAGTAAGGATGGACCATCCAAGTAAGTAAAATATGGCGTTTACAACTTCGTAGTGACTAAGATCGTGAATTCAGGTCTATGTGTTAAATACTCTTGCCTTTCTAATTCGGCTACGGGACATTGTTCATGCATTATCGTAACCGGATAATGATATCTGACCCACGGATACATTTCTCGCTGGGACAAGCATCTTCACTGGACCGCTCTTGTGTCTTAATATGCTTGACATTTTAGGTAGAATTTTCCCTATTATGCGTTAGCACACTTAGGTCTTTAAGGTGAAGTTTTACCTCTTACTCATTAAAAAACTTATCCTAACTTATAATTCTGACCTGGTTTGTATTGTTTTGTACTAGTAATCAGCAGAATTTCGTACTAAACACAAGATAATTGTTTTGGATTGCATTTGAATCATCGTTGAATATTTCTAGATAATGGATGAAGACCAATCTTCATTGAATGGTTTCATATCTCCACCCAGGGAGGATCCTGAATCTCAACATCATTACGATCTCTCCTCACCAGATTACCTGGACGATCAATCTTCGAAAGAGTCCAATGATGGAGGATCTTCGCGTGACTATGAGAGAGTTCTATCACCACCTCAGCATAGCCCTGTTGGGTCAGCGTCACATGTTTCTGCGCCATCTTCGCCAAGTTCTTTCGGGCAAGATGAGGAGTAAGTTCTGCTTATTATTAGCATTTATTTAATGTATGTTGGCAAAATATCCGGTTACTGACAACCTTCTTAATCTCTACATTTTGGTTGCTTCCTACATTTACTGTAGTTTATGTGCAAGCAAGAATGATCAGTACTCTGCTAAATGAGTGTCCCGATGTTGATACGAAAGTTGGGGAATACTTTTATAGTATTTTAACTTTTTATTTACTGCGTATTCTTTTTCGTGGCAGGGCATGATGTGAAATACAATTACAATGACGCTGAAATATTTGAAAAACGCCAGACCACAGATGTCTGTGGCGGAGATCGAACCTCGCTATTACCCTTTCTTGGAAGAGTCTTGCGTCCCAGAGTTTTGCAAATATCTCAGCTTCTACAATAGCTTTGCACAGTGGCTATTATTGCTAATATATAAGTATTGATTATAGGCAAGATTACTTTTAATGAATTTTACTTCTCCTATACTTCTTTATCTTTCCGTTCGCCTATTCACTTCTTTTAGAAACGTTATCAGTTCAGACCTTGTTCTCTGTACACCCCTTACCATCATTTATCAATGTATTATCATTTATTTTTCAAGTAAGCAGAATGATTTGTTTCCTTTATTGACACATGTTTAACAGAGACATGTCAAGAATCGTTTTCGTAAGGGAACATTGTGAAAAAAGACAACAAACCGTTTATTGAAGCATTTGCTCCAACAGAAAAGTCTAGGCGACTTTGTTTGGCACTATATTTGCCATAAGTATGCTAAGCAAGGGAAAACGTGAAAAGTTTGTCACATAATTGCCGTTTGCGTCATCTTCTGTTTTGCGTTAAGTATTTGACTTGAAGCGGGGTACTGACGGGAAATGTTTGTTTGAACTACAGAGTACCTTGAGCTTCAAGTTCTCAGTTGTAATTCACACGGAGGTTCAGATTCGTGGGCGAATTCGATGCTGGCAGTCCTAACGTCCCTTGTTCTCCTGAAGGTGATCCGTCTGAAGACAATGTTGTTGAATCTGAATCACGTCATCCACTATCGCCTACGTCTTCGTTAGATGCTAGTAAGCTGTCACCGTCGCATTCACCACAGCAAGAGAACTTTTCTCAGTCCCCTCATGATTGCAACACTCGGACAGAAAAGAGGTGCTTCATCTAAAGTTTTTCTGAGTCGTTCGCCTATCCATTCCTAAAGTCGATTTGTGTTTCAGTTACACGAGTGGCATGAGCGATACCTCTGGTGATGGTGAAAATATTACTAAGAAACCACAGAATGATGGCAAAGGTTAGTTTTGTGTCGCGTGTGCTTACACGACCCTTTCTGTGGCATGTGGACAGCAGTTTCTAATGTTTTCTCTTAGACGATGATGATGATGATGATGATGATGATGTTGAAGAAATTAGGCAGGAACACGTTGAAAGTTCCGATGACAATGATGGAGATGGTTCAAGCGAAAGGTAGGCAAGTCATTGGCTGCGCTCACTATTTTTCTACTTTAGAGTGTAAAAGAAAGTTTTAGGAAGAATTTACTCGATTCGGATGACTCTGATGATGATCTTGATGATGAGCAACGGAAAAAGAAGGTACTGCCAATCAGTTTTGAGTGAAATGCACGCTTATATGCTTGTATACCTATGGTAAAGACCTTTTTATGTTTATATAAGTACTCTTACGACCTCATTCTTCTTTTGATTTCCATAATACTTTTATTTTTTATTCCTTGGGCAATGCTGTTTGCCTTCCATGATCACCTTTGTACACCCTTACACACATCAGTGATACTTCATTTTGAGCTATTCTTTTCTGAATGGCGACTGCGCTTCAAAGCACCAGTCTTTTTCTTTTACTTTCTATTTAACAATGGATGACCATATATAGACGAGATTTTTCAGCTGGGAAACCTCATTGTAAATATTTTTGGGGAAGATATTGAAGAAGATGCTGATGCGTCACGTGATGATGATGAAGATGTTCAAGTGCAACATGGGGAACCCGCAGAAGTCGGTCAAGATGATTATGATGGCGCTGAAAAGGTTGACAGAAGGGCACCGTAAGCCTTATGTGATATTACCCTTATTTATGTTGTGTAAATGTACGTATTAAATCAGTACTCCTGTCTTCAGTGAATTATTAAGTAGAGCTTAATTGCTACGGAACCTGCCTATAAATTTTATCACTTGTGTGTACTTTGGTACCAGTTCTTCTGTAAAATAAAAAGGATAAAGCCGTCGGCTTTGATCAATTCCTGAGAGATGAGCCATGCATTCGATTTTATTAAGCATCGTTGGAGGTGATTGAATGCATATCTGGCCTTTACAATGACCCGCGGTGGCCTACCGATGTATCAAGCCAGTGCTGCTATCCTCCCAGACAAGTCCAGTACTAATTTGCCGACCCCGGAGAGATGAAAGACTTGGTGAACCAGGGATGCGGAATTGATCTCATGTGTATCGCAGAGCGCCTCAGACCACTGCGCTGCACGCACCCTTATATACATTTGCTTATTTGGCTGCAATATTTCACATTTCCAAAGAGTGTGTTCGATACTATTTCCTTAGAAGTGGGCAGAAAAGTCGAAAAACAGGAGAAGTTTAAGACTTTGGGACCTATCTGTAAAGCTGATTGTAATTTTAGTGGATTCGAATGGGACTTCGATTTGATGTTACGAGAAAAGAAAGCGGAACGAAAGAGGAAGAGAAAACGGCGTGATGCCGGTATCGACATCATTAATGATGATGATGGACTCATTGCTCATATGGTCAACGCAATGAAAAACGCTGCTAAAGTGAGGATATGAGCATTTCAATCAAAAAAAAAAAGAAAGCATTGTAAATTCTATTTCAGGAGGATCGCTATTCAAACACTGAACGAAAGCCAGCACTCAAGAAAAGGAAGATGCTTCATGATGTGAAAATGATGCTACTAAGAGTGAGCTCGTTGCAGCGAAGGTTTCGCATCTTGTGGCTTTGCTCGGGAAGATATGAACGGATCACCTGTATTACCTGCCATCCCGTTAATCGTCGAGTGACTCGATTGAGCGCCACTAAATCTTCCATTTTCCCCTATGGCATGCAAGAGGAGCCTAGTGGGTTCTGCTCGCTCTAGGGGTCCGTTGAGCACAATACCTTTCTTCAAGAGTTTTCGTGAAGAACATTGACCATGGGGTCGGTGGTCTTCCTGCGGTATGGTTGTTATTCCGAGGAATCCAATATACGCACTAAGTGTGCGGTCCACCTTACCTTCGACACTTCGGCATTTAGAACGGTATCCTTGATCTTTGGTCGTTGACACAGCTCGGTACTTCGGATTTCTATCCTTGCTTGTGTGAAACACGATACTTCTAGCGTCTTCCTTTCGACTGCGCGTTCAATAACGCTGAGTGATCTAACATCCTGCTTACGCAGCGACCAGGTTTCTGACGCGTACTTTAGGTCAGGGAACATCATAAAATCGAAAACGTGAGCACGGAGTCGGGTGTTCTTTGTTCTCTTCACTACATCCTCGATGCTCTTGGAAGCTCGCAAAGCCGCTCGTTTCCTTCTGTTCAATTTTGGAACCAAGTCATTTCGACAGATATGAACGGATATCTTAGATGTACTAATCGTTTAGTTTCTGCAAATGGGACTTATTGAAACTAAGTAGGGAATCAGCTTTGTCTGTTGGAAAATCAATTTCGTACTTTTTTATTGTTTTATAACATCTCACACCGGTTCGCTACTCAAAAATAGCGTGTAGTTTATGTCTCTTTACAGATGGATATGCTGGAAGCTATGATCGATGGTGGGATGATGAGTGCCGTCTCAGAATGGCTCGCTCCCTTGCCTGACAAAAGTTTGCCGGCTCTTGAAATTAGAACTGAACTACTGAAGATTTTGTCTGGATTTGGAAATTTAGACCAGGTGAAACCTAGTTTCCTCACTTACGTACCGATCAAAACACCTTTCATTTCGAATTAAGATAAAGTAATTTTTAGCGAGATCCCGCAGCCAGTTTTGTCCTAACATCCATTTTAGGAAGCCAGACTGTTTTGCTAACTCTTTGTTTCTGAAATTTATTTAAATATCCATTAAGGGAGTGCTGAAGCAGTCCGGTCTGGGTAGAGCAGTCATGTTGTTGTATAAACACCCGCGAGAAACAAAGGAAAATAAGGCAATGGCGGCGCATATCATCAGGGAATGGTCAAGACCGATCTTCCAGGTAAAGCTGTATCTTCAATTTATTAGTTTGGAATTGTTCCGCTGAACATGATCACATGTGGTTAAATCAAAATAGAAGACGCTGTATGACATTTCAGCTTGACACTGACTTTCGCTCTGTATCACGCGAGGAACGGGTTCAAAGGGACTTAGAACATATGTCAAGTGTGAAGAAAAAGCGATTGAGGTTTTTAAATATTTTTACCCGAAAGTGATTTCTTAGTGCTATACTTACTTATATGTTAGTTTTTTCGTTTGTCTGCTCTATTTTTCTCGTTAAGTGGAGAGTTGGGACCCTCTGACCTTCCTCCTGCACCTGCAAAACCATTGGGACCTCCTGATCCTTCTTCCGAATCTTCGAAGCCAAAAGGGCGCGAGATAACCAGAGCTCGTGTGCCTCGACCTTCTACAAAGGATTATGTTGTGCGACCAAAGTCGAACGTAGAGGGCGAGTTTAAGGTAGGTCTGTCTGCTCTACTACTTAGTCTTTTAACTTTATGATGTGTAAGGTAAGCATTAAGGGTGAGCGGAAAGGTAAAGCTTTCGCCCGGCTCGACAAGACACAACGTGAATTCCTGGAGAGGACCAAACGTGTGAAGGCTGCACGTGCAGTGGGGGTCTCACTGCAAGGACGAAATTTGGCGCTATGATGGTACTTAGCTAATCCATTATAAAAATTAAAGAGAAATCATAAAAAAACATGTAATAAGCTACCGTCAGAATCTGTACTGCATGTTCTTCCTTATACTCACAGCTCTCCAAATTTATTGCAAGAAGCCTCGGTAGTTCTCTTCATAACTTTTGAAATTAGTACTCTTATTTCATTATGTCGTGTAATAATGGAGAGGTGAACTTGTAATGTTTTTTTCCTGTATTTTATTGCTATAAATTATGGTCATTACTGTAATCACCTGAAGTGGTTTCGTTAATATGTAGTACTGAGGCTTGATTTTTGTTGACGCTTATGTCTACTTTCATAGATCATGATTTTCCAAATTAATGTGTACCGTAGTCAACGCTTACTCAACTTAGTGTGTAGATTAATCAGAGAAGTGGGTACAGCATTGGAACTTTGAGGTAAGAGTGATTTGACCATTACAAATGCGATGTATCCATGTGAACGATGGTGTTATGAATTTATGTTAAGCTGTTTGTAGTCTTTTAGAAACAAATTACTTTTACTGTACGAGCTTCCAATACATTTTATCTACTAACATCATATAAAGGGTATAGAGGAAGTTTTCGCCGTTGATCAATCACTGAGGGATGCGCATACATTCAACTTCGTTAACCATCGTTAGAGGTGACTAAATGCATAGCTGACCTTTACAATGACTCGCGATGACCTACCGATCTATGTAGCGAATGCTGCTATTCTCCCAACCAAGTCTGATACTAATTTGCCGACTCCGGGAGATGGAGGCCTTGGTCGGTTTTGGGTGTGGGGATCGATCCCATGTGTATTGCAGGGCGCCTACGACCACTACGCTTCAAACGCTCTACTGCGCTATACGCACCCCTGCACAGAGATCATATACCGTGTCTAAACATAGTTTTAGATGAACGGAATTTATGTACGCCGAATTTTCTGTCTCATTTAGTTCCTCGTTCCCTTGTGATCAAAGTTTTAGATACGAACTTTGTAATCGGCAATCTGCTCAGAACTAGTTATTCTTTATCTGCTGGCTATTGGTGAACTAATTCGTGTTCTGTTTTATTCTCAGTTCAGTTCTTCTTTCTGTTTCGTTATACGTTGCGATTTCGAAGTATGGTGCTATATTTCAACCTATTATTTACTGCATACTCTTTTTAATGGCAGGGTATACTGCTGATGGCAAAAGATCGATAGAACTAGCTAAGAGACAGGCGAAACGAAAAACTCTCATGGTGTCGTGGTGAACGCGTTACTCACCGGAAAGGACAGTAGCTCGTTCGTTCCTCACCGCAGACACCCGCGGTCCGGAGTTTTGCAAATATCTCAGCATCATTGAAGTTATGGTGCTATATGTTTACCAAGATTACAAAAATATCAAGGGCCAACTTGACTTCGCGGTGCATGTTACGTAGTGGGTACGGGTGTCCTTCAGTATACATTCTTGGTCCGATCCATCCCAGGGTCGACCATTTTTGCTCAACCAGCATTCAACGACAATCTTGAAGAACAAAAAGTCCTCACGTTTCATCTGGAACTAAGCGCAAATTCAAACAAAATCATTATGGTTGCGAGAAAATCTTTAAGAAAGTGAAAGAATCCGCAAAATATGTTAAGATGGCACAGTCAAAAAAGGATTTGATTTCGGGAACGGATCAATCGAGCAATCGAGTACTCATAGTACCTACATCAAGTAGCTGGAAGGTATGTGGAAAGTGTTTAAGGTTTGTCTGTTTGTTGCATCTATCAAAGAAGTTCCTCGTCTACTCTGGAAGTCTGACAAGCTACCCGTGAGTATACCCATCCTCCACGTTCAGAGCTCAGGAAGCTACGTGGATATCAAATGCTAAACACAGTAAAATAAATAAGCCTCATTCCCTCCACCTTGTAGGAGCTCCTGGTACGGCAACGTTGCATGGAACGAGTACGGAGATGCTGGTAAAATCTCAAGATTATTCTAGGCTGCCTAAATCTCGAAGGGCTAAGGTAACAAGCTGTAGCTACACTGCATGCTGACATGCGTCTAAATCCTCGGTAGGGGACACGACCATGCAGGTAGTGTACGACGTCGTCGGATTGGTTAAGACGAGAAGTCGCCACCTATTCAACGCCGTCTATGAGAACAGAGAAGAGCTGTTCCTCGGAACATGCGAGAATAGGGGAGCCGATGGCGTTGGTGTTCTCGAATCTGAGTCTGTCGTTTACGGTAGAAGAGATGTGTAGGAATACCGGTTTTGCCAATCTTCATCGTCTGGGCTCCAACACCAAACTATGAAGAAGACGAAGTCGACGCATTCTGTCTGTACTCGAAGAAGTTCTACAGAAAAGACCTACCTTCTTCAAGGTTATCGCTGGAGATTTACACGTGAAGACTTGACCTAGAAGAACGTCTGAAGAAAACCACATTTCTACCCACAAATTGAAATGGAGCGAGCAATGTAAGCTGCTGCCTAAGTTTATCATACTGAGCAAGACCAATCGTGGTAACTCGCAATTCCAGAAGCCCCAGCCTCAACGCTGGACGTGGGAGTCTCCTGGTGAAGAGTATCATGACGAAATAGACCACATCATAGTAAATAGAAGGTTTTGCCTAACCGATGTCGCTGTTGTACCAAAATTCTACACTGGATCAGACCATCGTCCCCTTCGTGCAAGACTCCATTTCTGGCAGAAAGGATGAAAAGTCGCTAAATTCAAAAAAACTAAGTTCCAGAACCGCCATAAACTGGGACTTATTCAATTCATTAGCTGGCTGTTGGGAAGATGCCGTTGTCGATAACATCGACGAAGAATGCGATCGGCTCATTCAACATCTTCACGTTAGTGCTATGAAAGCTGAGAGTTCGAAAGTCACCAAGAGACATCTGTCTCCAGAAACACTGGAGCTGAAACGTCAGCGTGGAATCGCACGAGCTGCAGGCAACCGCGAACTAACGTCCGAACTTGCAAAACGATGCAGACAGGCGATAAAAGAAGATTTTAAAGAGAGAAGAGCAGCAGTAATGGTCGAAGATGCAAAGGCTGGGAAAAGCATTTGCAAAGTCCACCGAAGCTTCACCAATTACAAGATCAAGATGATTGAACCCCGACGCCCAGACGGAACAGTCACAACTTCTAGGAAGGTATTGGAGAATACTATCCACGATTCCCACCGGTTGTCCCTTACAAAATTCGACAGGCTATTCCGTCGGTGAAGAATCGAACAACACCAGTTCCGAATAAAATAAGATCTGAACACCTGAAGAACCTCCTGCCAATCATAATAAACATTGACATGGCTCTTTACACGACGCACTGTCACAGCGTAAGGTTCGTTTTCAGTGAAAGACCAGCAAAGCTGTTATTGTTCAAGAACAGTCACCCCAAGATATTGACAACTATCGCCTAATTTGCTTGCTGTCTGTCGTCTACAAACTTTTCACTCGTCATCCTAAACGGGACTGACAGAACACTGTGTGAAGGACGGCCAAGTGAGCAGCAGGGTGTCGAAAAGGATTCATTATGATGGATCACATTTCCACGATAACAAGACTAAATGAAGTATGCCGAGAGCACAGGAGACCGCTCTATCTCACTTTCACCGATTTGAAGAAGGATTTGATGCAGAGTTGAGATAGAAGCAGTTAAGGAAGCTCTCGATAGTCAAGGAGTACCTACTCAGTATATAAAGACTCTTCGTGGATGTACAAAAATTTCACAACCAAGACATCAGCATTCAACAACGATATTAATATCGACATTAAAAGAGGTGTTAGACAAGGCGATACCTTCTCGCCAAAATAATTTACCACCATCCTTGAGACTACGCATCCCTCTCATGTGAGGGATTTCGACCCAGTTAATCGCGAGGCAATGTGACGCGTTCCCACGTGGTGGATAGGGGGTTAATCGCGGACTAAAAGCGACCGTTGTTTTCCTGAGACGCAGGTGGATCCAGGGGATGGACTCCCTGTTTCTACTGCGCTGATTTGGCAAATACTTTCTGTATTTGCTAGGCGTATTCATGCATTCGTGTGTGGGTGAGTTCTTGCTAATGCGGATTGTATTCTACGAGTCAATTCTGCCAAAAGTCTGCAATCAAGTGAGTGGGAAGTATATGGGAGGGGGTTAGGAGTCACCACCAACAAATAAGCTCCATGACCACTCTGGGAAAGCCTGGTAAGCCATATGTGAGTATGTCCAGCCCCCATGTTCAGAGCTCAGCAAGCTACACGTGGGTATCAAAAAGCTAATTCGGCGGCGTTAGGTAGTGGAGTGTGGAGAGGTTGCTAAAATCTCAGGGCCAATGTAAGCTGCCTAGATCGCAAAAAACTAAGACGACGATCTGTACCTACAATGCACGTACACTTGCATCCGAGTCGTCGATAGACGAGTCGCTCACGCAGGCAAAAAGGATAAGGTACGACGTCATCGGCCTGGCCGAGACCAGAAGACGCCACCCATTCAACGTCGTCTATGACACCGGAAAAGAACTGTTCCTCAGAACATGCGACAGTAGAGGAGTCGGCGGCATCGGCGTTCTCCTCAACACGAGTTTGCCCTGAACATCGATTCATTCGAACAACTAACAACCCGAATCGGACGTTTACGATTAAAAAGATGTGAATCAATTCCGGCTTTGACAATCTTCGTCGTTTACGCGTCGACATCAGACTATGACGAAGAAGAAGTCGAAGCGTTCTATATGGACTTGGAGAAGTTCTACAGAGACCATACATTCTTCAAGGTCATCATTGGAGGTTTTAACGCTAAGATTGGACCAAAAAGAACGTTTGAAGAACGTTACATTGGAACCCACGGAGTAGAATGGAACGAACAGGGTGAGCGGCTCTCTGAGTTTACCATAACGACCGAGACCATCTATGGTAACTCGCAGTTTCAGAAGCGCCACCCTCAACGCTGGACGTGGGAGTCTCCCAGTGGAGAGTACTATAACAAAATAGACAACATCATAGTAAACGGAAGGTTTCGCCCAATCGGTGTCGCTGTGGTCCTAAAATTCTACACGGTAACCGGAGTCGACTTAAGTAAATGTCGGAAAGCATTGGTTCCGCCTGGCTAATGCTTGGTGTTCTAAGAATGATGTCAGTAGCGAAGTGAAGATAGTGTAATTGACGACCATTGATTTTCACTCCTATGTTGTCCCATTCTACTGCTCGCATGACGTCCTCAAGGGTGGCGGTAAATAATTTCGGATAGTAGGCACCATCCTACAACGATATTATCATTGACGTCAAAAGAGGAGTTAGGCAAGGCGGTACCATCTCGCGAAAATTATCTATCGCTACCTTCCAGCGAACGTTGGAATGAGATAATATGTTAATGAAAATCGATAGTCGGCAGTTACACCATCTTCGTTTTGCTGATGACATCGTCCTTATAACACCAAGCATTGGCCAATCGGAACGTATGCTTGCCGACTTTGATAAAGCATGTGGGTTGGTCCTCGACTAAATCTCACAAAAGCGATGTTCATGGATAACGGATTGGTTTCGTATGCCCCATTCACGCCCAACGGAACATATGTCTGCGAATGCTCCTAATACGTCTATCTAGGTGGGGAAATCAACATGGTGAACGACTTTGCTCCAGAGTTGGGCAGGATGAAGCGAGCGAATTGGAGAGCTTTCAAGAGCATCGAAGATGTGGTGAAGAAAAAAAGAATATCCCCTCCATGCCTGCCTTTTCGACTCCAGGATTCCTCCTGCCTTAACCTATGCATCAGAAATATGGTCGCTACGTAAGCAGTGGGAGAGTGCACACGGCGTTATTGAAGACGCAGTCGAAAGGACTATCCTAGGTTTATCCCGTACCAGGAATGTGAGAAAACGATCGGACGTACGTCAACGCTCGAAAATCAAAGGCGCCATTCTAAATGCCAAACTATTGAAGATAATGTAGGCCGGACACTTAATGCGTATGAACGACAACCGCAAGACAAGAGCCGTTTGCGCTTGACTCATCGGGATATGAAACGCACAGCAGGGATATCACCAACACATTGGTCAGAGTTCTTCACGAAACGCCTAGAAGAGAAATTTCATCATCAACGAGTCATTAGAGCGAGCAGCACACATTGGACTACTCTTGCACAAGAGAGAAAGGAGTAGAGGGTTTACGGTCGCTCGGTCATGTCACCAATGGGATGCTAAGTGTCACATGTTATACTTGTGCTTATATTTGCATTCTTGGATGACACCGTTATAGGAGTTGTGGTCGTCTTAACACATATTCTACTATCTTCGTTCTCTGAAAGTCGTCGTCTACACTGCGATCTCTTTCATGCATGGTAACGTTTTCCAATATTATTCCGCATTATACAAACCGTTCCCAGCTGATTATACAGTCTATAGATATGACCTACAGACGACTCAACCTACTATCCTGTATAGAATCTATCCTTACAGCAATATCTCCTCGCAACATTGATGGTCCAGACTGTGAAACCCGGCTTAGTGATACGTGCAGGTTTTACTTCAAAATAGATAGTTCAGGTTTTTCGTTGATGGTAGCGATAAGGTTGTCGATATGAAAGAGGATCTGACTCACACTGCAGCTTCAGTGGCATTTGAGTCGAACAATGTCCTTTGTTTCGGGTTTGTAATTTGCTCACCAGCTCACCCGAAAGATAGAGACACAGCCAATCCTCCTACGTACAACATACACAAAGGCAAAGAATATGACAGGCACCAAGCAACATGACGGAAAGCATACGTCAGCTATTCTATGAAATAGCTGTTCAAGAGCTACGAGCTACAATTTCTTGGATACTACGCAATATTAAGAGAACCTACTCCAAGAAAATCAAAAACACCAGAAGTGCTTTAAACCAAAATGAGACTATATATATATATATATATATATATATATATATATCGCGACTATCTGTAGTACAATACTACATCTGAACACATGAAAAGTAAGTGCATGAAGTACTTCAATAAAAATTTATGCAGAAAAAGCAAAGTAATAAAACTGGTTTTCGTAATGCAAAATAACAAGTGAAAGCTAGGCTGAGATCATCTACAAAAAATGACTGCAATATCCAGAGACCTCATTAGGCATAGCGTCTAGTTCTTGATGACATAGTGTACCATTAAATAACTCCGTTAGAAATGTAAAAAAAATATACGATGAATATGACGGGAGAGGCTTACGAAGACAACGAGGAGACAAATGTTGTTCATTCTATTCACGAAAGGCAGTGTGTAAAAACGTCACTATATAGACACGGTTCACCGAACAAAGCAACATCCGGCATAAGGCACACTGAGATAAATTCTATTCAGAATCATACAAATGAAGAAAACCCGCTTGAAAGATTAGGCTGAGCCTGAAAGGCGGTCGACGATTCACTACTTTCAGTCGATACGGCTCTAGACGACGACCCTGCTGGCACCGCGCCGCAAATAGCATCACTAGCTTTCACCCGTCGCCATGTGTCGCTGTAATGATGAAAAATCAAGTAAAGAACAAATAAAACAAAAGAAAACTAGTTGGTCTCATCTGATTATCAATTACCCAGGAACCTATGGCACAAAATAAGGAATGGATCTTAAGAAAAGGCAAAGATGTAGAGATTGTTGAATGGCAAAAAAGCAACAATACGCCAGGTTTTTTGCAAATTCTATCCATCGAAGTTCATCCAACACTTCTTACCAAGCTATTTGAATAGATGTTGCTGTAACCATCCCATTTATACCACTAAAATTAACATTTCTGAATTCACAGATGGACCCACCGATACTGATCACTGGCACCATAATGGCTTGCAATATTTTCCGTTGGATGGTCTGCTTCATCTTTAACACTTGTGTGGCCGTCATCTTCATCATCAAACGAATCGTCGGCAAAATCGTCCAGATGAATAGCATTCTCCACATGACTGTATCCCACCCGGACTGAACTTCCGCGAGAATGTTGACTCCTAAGACTCAAGTACACTTGGGTGGGATTCCGCTGTTAAACTTTCCTTTTGTATTTTACCTCGGAGCGACCTAACCCCAAGAAATAAAACCTGATTCACGGCAGACCATACGGACCCAAAAACTTACACGAACCTGTTCAACGGATTACCGTAATCACAACGATTATCGTATTTCGATTTGCTCAGCATATCGACGGTCTCTCGTTGTGTGACATAAGCACTTCCTCGTACATCCCGACCAACTAATGTACTCAACCTAAACTATGTTAAAGATGACAATCCAATACCAAAATGTAAATTAGAATTGGGACCGAGTTTCTCACCATCTGAACCCATTTCTAAGGTGACCTTGCGTAGGGTCGCATGTAGTTTACATGAACTTCAAGATAGACTCCGCAAAAAAGCTAGGGATGAAACGCAAAATAGGCGCGAACAACAAAAAGTATGGACAATACCAGTACCACCATTCCCTCAACCGTTCTTTAGACAACAAGACCCCTTAATGAAGTTGATGTCAAATTTCGGATGTTTACGAATGAAACTTTCAAAGTCCTTAATCACTATCGCGCTAAAAGATACTGCTCCAACCTCACTGAAATACAAAAACGTGGTAAGCGGGAGGTACGAGAGCTGATAAGATCAAAAACATAAGACTATCCGTTAGTGATAAGGGTGGAGAGTTTGTTCTAATTCTCCATCAGTTAAATGTTGAGATAACGGAAAAGCACCTAGAAGATACTTCTCTTTATCGTCCGTCGTCTGAGAAGGGAATTTAAATGTCAATACCGAAAGTTAAACAACGAATGGGTTAAAGTGGCAAGGGCGGCTGGGTTAAAACCATCAGTTATCTCTTATCTCAAAATTCACTTACCAACATGTCCCGTCCTGTACTTGCTTATCAAAACCCATAAGTTAGTATCGAGCGATGATCTCGTGTCTACCGATCCATCGTTATTTAAGGTTAGACCTATCATTAGCTGCGTGGACGTGCCAACGGATAGAATAACGTGGTTAATAACCCTAATACTTACTCAGTTGTTGAAGTACATTCCAGCTCATCTAACGAACACCCAAATGTTCCTGGATCGTCTACGTAACGCGCGACCCAACAGCGCGTACGTGGTGGAGTCCTTCGACGTCACTGCCCTCTATACGAACGTGTCGAATGACTCCGCTATGCAAACCATAAACGAGCTCCTTATACAACACGAAGCAGCAATAAACATGTACGGCTTCTCGATTCAACAGTTGATGACACTCTGAAAGAAGTGCCTGAACTGCTCAATCTTCAGATGGTCCGGGAGGTATTACGCACAAATGAGAGGGCTGGCAATAGGACAACGACTGGCACCAAGCCTTGCCATTGCATTCATGTCTAAGGTGGAAGCGCCAGTAATCGACTTCGGTCCGTTACTCTACTGTAGATATATAGATGACTGCTTGGTCATTTGTTAAACGCAAGAAGAAATCGACAGATGCTTCGAGTTGTTGAACACACAGTCAGAGTATATTAAATTCACCCGAGAGAAACCAAAAGAAGACTGGTTTCCATTTCCGAACGTGCAAATTAGCCTATCAGGAAACGGCTACATTACGAAGTGGTATCGAAAGCCAAGTAGTAAAAACATCCTGGTTCATTACCTCTCTTCTCACCCCTCTCACACGAAAAGGGCGCTTGTAAGAAACATGTATCGAACAGCTATCAGCATGTGCACAGGAAGACAACAGAGAGAGGAGTCCCGGAACTTGGAGCGGCAAAAGCCATTTTTAATGGCTACGAAACCGTAGCTCAAGATAGGTGTAGACGAAACCACAGGTACTCCAACGATAACTCTAGCGATAACAAGGTCCCGTTTATACTGCCCTTCATTTCAAATGAAGTAAGTGCAGCTATAAAACGCTGTTTAAGAAGGGCCAGCCTAGAGAATTCGGAAACGACAATCGAAATACCACCGAGTAATCTAAGGCGCCAGCTAGTTCGTAACCGCCTATCCGACCGCACATGTGCAACGGAAAATTGCTTACCTGACATGGACACAGTTATCACCCATGTATTACTCCGTGCGGCTGCTATCCATCAACTAACTTAAATACTTACAACAAATAAACGGTAGGTGTTTGAATGAAGCTGTTTCTTATGCGAATGCAAATCGAATTGTCAAGTTTTATCTGCTAGGGTTGTGAAAGTGTTTGGCTGAGTAGATCACATCTCAATTTGACCTTTCCAGGCTCTGAAGAAGGCGAAACCGCCGAAACGTCAGCAATTGTGTTCTAATAAATTCTATATTAACAACCTCGTGTCTGCTTATTGATGAAAAACATTGGAAAATTGCTTAATTTGCCTCAATGGTAGAGACGGTAACTGCATGAGTTCGGGTACAGCCTATTTGATCTTTTGTAAAGCGTGCGGGGACGAATACGTTGGCGAAACGGGTAGACCACTCTGCGTACGTATAAAAGAACACCTAGTCGGCAAACGTAAGCCAAGTACTCCACCAGGTACGCATAGCACGCAGAAACATAACGGAGAAGATTTTGAAGTAAGGGTTACGATCCTCGCGCAAGAATCGAGAACACAAGCGCGCAAAACTCTAGAGGCATTCTGGATAAATTCCAAGAATCCGAAAATGAACCGCAGGGAGGAATGCCTCGCGATATCACGAGATCACGCGCGATATTGGACAGTATATAAACCTGTTATTCTGATGGGAGGGGCACATTACGCTTCCATGTGAATTTGGTGCGGTCGGTCTTCACGCGACACACTCAGTTGAAGACTCATAGAAAGCGGTGAGTGTGCAGAGCTATGCTAAATGTGATTGAAATCTTGGTTTAGCGTTTTCTCTGTTTGGTTATAGAGGCGTTTGGCCGAATGGATTGCTGTCAACTTGACCCTTCCAGACTCTGAGGAAGGCGAAATCCGCCGAAACGTCAGCTTGTGCGTAAATAAAGAAATAAAATAGCACCTCGTGTTTGCTGAACAGAAGTATAAAGGTATATATCCAAAATGTAAACTTTAATACTTAGTCACTGATGCTTATCTATTCAATAAATCCTATAGTTTTTCAGAACTAAAATAGCTATAACGGTGCTAACAGCAAGCACCTGTCAACGCCAACGAACTGGGAAGCACAAATCGGAATTGAACTCCGATAAGCCAAAGCTGCAGTAGAAATCACAATTTTTAACTGCTTATTTACTGCATATTATTTTAAAAGACAAACAATGGACAGTGAAGAAAAATAGGAAACAATAATAATAGATAGTAAATAAAAAGCTAAACATTGTTATTTCGACTACAGCTTCAGCACAACGGAGTCAATGCCTCCATGCTCCGATTTGGGCTCCTCAGACCAATCTCGTTGACAAATGATTGCTGATGGTATCGTTAAGGTAGAAAAGTGGCTGAAAGAAAGGTAAACCAAGGGTCTCTGTGGTGCAGTGAGCAGTACGCGAGCACTCGGAAAGGGTAATCGCCGGTCTGAAGAACCTGGGGACCGAATTTTGCAAATGTCCCAGCATCACTGTGGTAGTGTATCACATAATACCCTTCCAGGAAAAAGAACAAGCAATAAATAAGTAGTTGAATATTAAAATACCCTCGCTCTATCCTCCTAAAACTACGTACAATTCATCCACAACGCTATTTTTGCTTCTTTCCCTAAAAGAAAAACGAAAATCTGTGTTCTTCAGGCGTTTTAGGTAAGAAATGACAAGGACCATCTTCAGAGTTTTAAGAGCGACAAGATAGCTGGTTGAAATCTTCCATAATTATTAGAGCTACTAGTTTACAACAACAGAATCAAATATTATTTTAAGTGATATATCGAGAAAATATCACCTAACATTTGTTAGTAAACGAAGAAGGATCAATACGTGGGTTACGCAAAAAATACTCATCACACTCAATGAATTTCTGGTGCATGATGGGCACCAAAATGAAAGATGACAGTAACGAATGGACGAAAAGAAAAACAGCTCCACCTGTTCAACGCCTCTTGATTCGGTAGTGTTGGAATGGCATCCGTCTCCAAGCCATACATATTAACTACGCTCCCACCACCGTCAACGCTTTCACGCCCACGTAATCTTTCTTGATCTCCTAAGATACTACCATATGCAGGTGGATCCCGATCTGACAGCCACGACTGTTTCGTACCAGGACGCGTCGGCAAATCGTTTCTAGAATGGCGCAATTTGATATGTTTACTTAATACTTTCACACTATTACTTATATACTGCACACACATCGTGTACTTAAAAATACGTATACAATGTATAACTTTTATCTACTGCCCATTATTTCCTTCATGATACGTTATTATTTGAAATACAACCGCAATGACGCTGAGACGCATGCAAAACTTGGACCTTAGGCCAGATCGAACCCCGATTACCTTTACCGGAGGCGCACGTGCTACGCACAGCACCATTGAGGCACTCGTTTTGCTTTTCTCTCAACCAAACTTTTTACCCTAACGATGCCACTAGTAATCACCCGTCAATAGGAATGATCTGGGGAGCATAAATCAGCAAATATTTCAGCATAATTGTGGTTGTATTTCACATGATACCCTGCCAAGAAAAAAAATAATGGGCAGTAGATAAAAGTCATACACTGTGATTTCGACTATAGCTCCAGCTTAACTGGGCTTGATGCCGAATTGTGCTCCCCAGATCATTCCCGTTGATGGGTGATTGTTGATGGCACCGTTAGGGTAAAAAGACTAGTTCAGAGAAAAGCAGAACAAGGGCCACAGTGGTGCTCGGCGTAACACGTTCCGTAAGGTGTAATCACGGTTCGAACTTCCTTGAGACCCAAGTTTTGCAAATACGTATATATCTAGTACACATAAGCATGCATTATTGAAAAATTCACTCTAAATATTTGAAATTCTCAGTAACAATCAAAGAAGAAACCTATTAAGAGTAAAGGGAAAAACAGAATATGTTATATGAAGTCTAACAATTGATACAGTTTCAACACTCTCGCGACGACGCCTAATCTCTAGTTTGCTGCGGACTGGACGACGCCTAATTTTCAGCGTTTGTGGACCCGCTGGTTTTTTGAAAACAAACAGTAATTTTCCGACAACTAGAGGACTTCGTAGAGTGTGGAAATGAATGAATCATTCTATGGAAATGAATTATATTTATAGTGATATTTAATAGAGATCCTTCCCCGGATC